CTATGCATACCCTAACTTTCTTAAATATGAAATTGTTCGTTGGTGATATTTTATTATTAGATACCTTTCCATCTCTCTGTGTCCACCACTACCCAGCCACACAGAATGTAGCATTGAAAAAATAAACTGTGTTCTACAAGCTGGGTGTGGTGGCACAACACCTTTAATCCCAGCACTGGGGAGCAGAGGCAGGTGGATCTTAGTGAGATCAAGGCCAGCCTGATCTACATAGTGAGTTCTAGGTCAGCTGTGGCTAAAGGGAGACCCGTCTCAAGAGGACCAATAAATAAATAAATAAATAAATAAATAAATAAATAAATACCCTAGGCCTGGGCAGGGTGGGGAACATTCTACAACAAATCCAGTCAAGCCTGGCATGGCAGTGTACATATGCCATCCTAGCACTTGGCAGGTAGAGGGCAAGAGGGTTCAGAAGATCAAGGTCATCTTCAGTTACTCAGTGAGTTCAAGGCAACCCGGGCTACAAGATACCCTGTTGCAAAGAAAAGAAAAGAAAAGAAAAAAGAAAAGAATGGGCTGGAGAGCTGGCTCAGTAGTTAAGAGCACTGGCTACTCTTACACAGGACATGGATTTGGTTCCCAGCACCCACATGGCGACTAACAACTGTAACTCCAGTTCCAGGGGATCCTACACCCTCTTCTGACCTCCACAGACATGGTGCACTTATATATATGCAGATCAAACACTCATACATATAAAATAAAAACCAACTAACAAAGCAAAACCCCTATGATAAAAAGAAGGAAGCTGGAAACCTATGAAAAGTTAAATCCTGTATGGGAAACTTCCACTTTGAATGGTGTCACCTTTACTTCTAGCTACTGTTATTTTTTATAGTAAAATGTCAGGGGCTGGAGAGATGGCTCCACGGTTAAGAACACTGGCTGCTCTTGCGGAGGACCCAGGTTTGGTTCCTAGCACCTACATGGCAGCTAACAACTGTCCATAACTCCAGTTCCAGGGAATCAGATGCCATCTTCTGGACTCCATGAGCATTGTACAATATGGGGCACTTACATACATGTAGGGAAAACACTCATACACATAAAAAAAAAAAAAAGGTAGCACATGCCTTTAATTCCAGCACTCAGCAGGCAGAGGCAGACTGATCTCTGTGAGATCATGGCCAGCCTGGTCTACACAGTGAGTTCCAGATCAGCTGGGGCTACAGGGAGACCCTGTCTCAAAAGCAGAAACAAAAGCAAAACCAAACTCAACCAAACCATAGTCTTCCAGAAGACTGCTTTGAGCCATTTTCCAGAAAGAGACAGGAAGCTACTGTGCCCTCTAGTAGTGAAAATTGCATGGACACCTGTACGTCTGCAGTGCTGATTTCTGAGTTGGGCAGAGATGCCCAGTATTTATGTCAGACATTGGTCACAGTAGAATTTCTGTGTGGAGCCTCAACTGCTGTGACATGTTGAAGAAAGAAGCAACATGGATGTGGCTCTGCCTAAGATATCACAGTCCCTCTGGAAGGTCATTTCAAGTCAACAGTTTAGTTACTTGGGAGTGGAGAACTGGAGAGAGAGCCCAGTGGTTAAGAATGTAATTCCAAGCCTGAGACGCAGAAGAATGCTACTCAGTGATGGTCAAATTAGGAGTCCTTTTTTTTTTTTTTTTTTTTTTTTCGGTCTTTTTGAAGCAGGGTCTCCCTGTAGCCCCAACTGTCCTGGAACTCACTATGTAGACCAGGCTGGCCTTGAACTCACAGAGATCCGCCTGCCTCTGCCTCCCAAGTGCTGGGAATACAGGCATGCGCCACCAAGCCTGGCTAATTAGGAGTCTTTTTAATAGCTGGTGATTGACAGGGGGCTAATGGTAGAAAGAACTCTTGACCTGGGAAGAGGTAGAATAAGATTTATAAAACTTAAAACCACAATTGCATTATGCCAGAGGCAAAACCAATAACCATAGTTTTATCAGATTCACCACAGTTACTCCAGACAAGGGCAGGCAAACTCGATAAAGAAGTTTTCAGTTAATAATGGGCTTCCTGGAGATGTAGGTATAACTGGATGAGAGGACTTCTGCCTGGCTTGTTGTAAATTTCCCAGTACTGTAGAAACATTGTACTCCCTGAAATGCCTCAGTGCAGGCTGTTCTTGCTGGCTGACTGCAGTTAGCATGAGTGGGAGGAGAAAGGCAGCTGGGCAGAAACCAGGGTAAAGCAAAAGGCAGCTGGAACAGAATGGAGTCAGTTTGTCCATTTCATGAGCACTTGCTGTTCTAGCACTGGACCTGGGTTCAGTTCCCATCACCCACTTCAGGTGGATCACAACTGTCTGTAACTCCATAGAATCTGACCCCCTCTTCTGACCTCTGAGGGCTTCTGCATACATGTGGTGCATTTATAATACACATAAAACAAAGAAACAAATGAATAAATATTTTATATATATTTTTATGTGTGTGCGTGTATTGCCTGCGTGTATGTACGTGCACCCGTATAGTGCAACGCCCGCAGAGGACAGAAGAGGCCACTGGATCCCCTGGAACTGGAGTTACAGACAGTTGTTAGCTGCCATGTGGGTGCTGGGATTTGAACCTGAGTCTTCTGTAGGAACAGTCAGTGTTCTTAACTGCTGAGCCATCTCTCCAGACCCCAAATAAATAAATCTTTAAAAAATGTTTAAAATTTTTTTCTTGGCCGGGCGTGGTGGTGCACGCCTCTGCACTCAGGATGCAGAGGCAGGCGGATCTCTGTGAGTTCAAGGCCGGCCTGGTCTACATAGTGAGTTCTAGGCCAGCTGGGGCTACTGAGAGACCCTGTCTCAAAAAGAACAAAAAAAATTTTTTTTTCTTGCATGGGGTGTAATGGCAGCACATGCTGCTGAACCTGCACAACTACTTGATTCAAAAACTTTAAGGGAGCCAGGTGTGGTGGCTCACACCTTTAATCTTAGCTCTTGGGAGGCAGAGGCAGGTGATCTCTGTGAGATGGAGGCCAGACTGCTCTATATGGTGAGTTCCAGGCCAGCTGGGGCTACAGGGAGACACAAAAAAGTTAAAACATCTTTTTTTGTTGTTTTAATTTTTAAATTTTCTCCAATCCTTGGGAGCAAGATTTTTCTTTCTTCTGCCTTCCCTTATGCTCGGTGGTCCTGTTTTTGAGGTTTCAGTTTTTAAAATTATTTAGTTAATGAATTAATTTACTTATTCATTTGTGTGTGTGTTCATTCATGCACAGAAGTCAGAGGACAGCTCACAGGAGCTGGGCTTTTGTGATAAGCACATTTGCCTGATGAGCCATCTTGCCAGCCTCTGATTTCTTGGTTGTTTTGTTTTTTAAAAACTTTAATTTGAGGGACTGTAGGGATGGCTCAGCTTAAGAGCACTGGTTGTTTTTGCAGAAGACCCAGGTTTGAATCCCAGCACCCACATGGCAGCTAACAATTGTCCATAACTCCAGTCCCAGGGGATCTGACAGCCTCTTCTGACCTCTGCGGGCATTGCATGACACGGGTGCACTTACCTACATGCAGGCAATACACGCGTACACATAAAATAAAAATAATAAATAAAAAATTAAAAAAACCTTAATTTGAAATCTTTTATTAATTTGGGGTGTGTGTGTTTATGGCTACAGCACACACGTCATGATCAGAAGACAATGTGGAAGAATAGGTTTTCCACCATGTGGTCTCTGGGATGGAGCTCAGGCTTGACTGTTCAAAATGGGTCTAGTGGTGGGTGGGGGTGTCAGTGGTTAAGAGCACTGGCTGCGCTTGGAGGACCTGGGTTCGGTTCTCAGCACCCATATGGTGGCTAGCAACTGACCATAACCCCAGTTCTAGTAGATCTGATGCCCTCCTCTGGCCTCTGCAGGTGTTGCAGACGTGTGTGCACTTACATGCAGGTAAAACACATACATAAAATAAAAATAAATTAATTAAAAAATGGGTCTGTGGTTCCAAGAAAATGATCCCATAACCCAAAACAGTTCAGTAACGCAAGAAGTTTTACTTCTGCAAAATGTTTTACTTATATCAAGCTGCTCTGAACCCAGCAAGCACACTTTGTAAAGATGGACTCTCCCTTTCATACCATACACAACAGAGAGCTTGGATGCCCCTCCTTAGTGGAGGTTCAACCACACAATCTAAACTTGATTGGCCAAGTTAAAACGGAAGGAAGCACTTTAGTAAGAATTTTTTAAAATTTAGGAGCATGGGGTTTTTCCATGGAGCCAGAGTCATAAAAGTAGTACCGAGTAAGTTTTGGCTGAGGAAACATATTACAATGATACAAGTTATAATTGATACGTTAAGAAACAAGCGTAAAGGTAGGTAGGAGCTTTATAACAAGGGTACTGAATAGAAAGATAAGCACATAATTTAAAATGTTTTTGTTAGAAAGGATTTCATTTCTTTTTTGTCTTTTTGAGACAGGGTCTCCCTGTAGCCCCAGCTGGACTGAAACTTGCTATGTAGACCAGGCAGCCTTGAACTCACAGAGATGTGCTTGCCTCTGCCTCCCAAATGGTGGGACTAAAGGCGTGCGCCACCACGCCCAGCAATATTTTTTTTTAAGACTTTATGTGTATGAGTGTTTTGACTGCATGTATGTAAGTGCACACAGGAACTACAGGAACTAGAGTTTCCAGCGGTTGTCACCTTGTGGGTGCTGGGAACGGAACACAGGTCCTCTGCAAGAGTAGCTCTTAGTCGCTGAACTCTCTCTCTAGCCCCGACATCAACAAAAATTCTTGTATGAAAACAGCAGGTCAGATGTGAACTCTGTCAGGCGCTCTGAGTTGATAGTTGCCACCAAGAACGTGAGAAAAACCAAGCCTGTTTAGTACATAAAGACGCCAATACGTGCTCTGGAAAGCCGGGAGTAAGTTCTCTTGCGAATTTGCCCCTACCCTGCCTCCAGCTTGAGAGTCTGTGTCCCAGGACCTCCAAGCCTGTTCTGCCCTCACCCGCCATCCAAGACTTGGACGCAGTGAGGATGCGCACTGTCGAGTGCGGCGGCCGTTCTGCGCTATCGCGGGATCTCCGCTTCTCGCCCCTCCCGGGCCGTGCGACCTACGGGCGCGCCTCGGGGGAGCGGTTCCTGGTACGGCCCTGGAACCGCCAGGGATCAGGACGCTCGGAAGAAGGGGAACGGTGAGTTCAGGGCCCGACACCCGAGGGAGGGTAGAGAGGCTCTAGGAAGTGCCTGGACCGGGAGGACCCGGATTCGGCCTCCCGGCGTCATGGGATCCCGATGGCTCGGCTGGGCGGGATTCGATTTGGTTCGTCTGGGCTGGACTCCAGCTGGGCGGAGCTGGGCTCGCCTGGATTCAGTTTAGCTCGGCTGGGCCTGGCTCGCCTCGGTTATGCTCGGTTTGGCTCGGTTCGGCTCTGCTCGGCTCAGCTAACTCGGCCCGATGCGGCATCGCTCGACTCAGCTGGGTTGGCCTCCTCGGCTTGGCTCAATCCGGCTCGGCGGGGCTGGGCTCGAACGGATTCGCCTTGGCTCGGCTCGGCTCGGCTCATCTTTGATCCGGCTCGGTTCTCTTCTCTTCGGCCTGCGGGGTCCTGTCTTGTTCCTTCGCCGCGACTCGGGCCAGGCTCGAGTAGACTCGGAGCTGGCGCTGCAACGCTGTCGGCGGGAGGGTAGTGGCGAGACTCCCGGCTCGGGTACGGGATCTGTGAGCGCGTGGAGCTGCGGCCTGAGGAGCCTCCGTCGGCCTACGTTCCCCAGTAACCCCTTTTCCCTTGAGCTCTGCTACATTGGAAAGCCTCCTCTCGGATCCCCAGTGCCTAGGTCTTCCTCAGTAGTAAATCCTTAGATTTGTGGAAAGCACTTACCCGTGCCAGCACCCCTTCTTCAATTCTACATTTCAAACTGCTTATTTCCGCACAAAGTAGTGAATAACGCATTTGGATTTTTTTTTTTTTTTTTTGGTCTTTTTGAGACAGGATCTCCCTGTAGCCCCAGCTTCCTGGAACTCACTATGTAGACCAGGCTGGCCTTGAACTCACAGAGATCCGCCTGCCTCTGCCTCCCGACTGCTGGGACTGAAGGCGTGCGCCACCACGCCCGGACGCATTTGGATTCTTAAAAATATTTTAAAATTTTATATGTGTTGCCCGCACCTGTGTCGTGCAATGCTCGAGAAGCTTACAAGAGGGCGTCGGATCCCCTGGAAGTGGAGTTACAGGTGGTTGTTAGCCACTATGTGGATGCTGGGAACTGAACTCGGGTCCTGTGCAAGAGCATTCAGTGCTCTTAATTAGTCATCTGTCCAGCTCCCGCATTTGGAGTTTTGAAAACAGGGTCTTGCTTCCATCCCAGAGTGTCAATCCTTGCCAGTGCTGGTATTACAGGTGTGAGCCATCACAAGTGGGCTTTTGTTGTTTATTTTTTTGTTTTCGTCTTTGTTGGGACAGGGTCACACTTTGTAGCCCTGGCTGAACTCAGTACATACACCAGGATGGCCTCTTTCTGACTGCCTCTGCTTCCTGAGAACCGAGATTAAAGCACATCACCAAGGCCTGCCTCTCTCATCTCTAGGCAGTCTCTATTAACATGTCCGGGTAGAGGGTGCTCTTTGAACACTCCACTTAAATCCACTCACTCTTTTTGCCTTTTTCAGAGCCATCTGAGGCTGGCCCAGGATATCTACCTCTACCAAGTCTCATGTGTAATGAATAAGACCTTAGGTTAGTTCCCAGGGGACAGCTTGAGCTAGGAGTGGCTACCCCGGGCTTGGGGAGCAAGTGTCCGCTGTATGGGCTAGGAGGAGTCATCTGGTAACCATCATCTAAATAGCGCAGTCTTTGGGACACTAAGACTTTCCTCCTCCTGGGGGCTTGAGAGGTGATTCTGCAGTTAAGAGCACTGGCTGCTCTTTCAGAGGACCTGGATTCCAGTCCTAGCATCCACATGACAACACACATTCTGAGGAAGAAAAAAGTAAATAGGGGCTGGTGAGATGGCTTAGCAGATAAAAGCTTATTTGGTTTGTTTTTTTCAGGCAGAGTCTCTGTAGCCCAGACTGACCTCCAACTCCCCTTGTAGCCATGGATGGCCTTGAAATCCTGATTCTCCTGCCTTCACTTTCCAAGGACTAGGATTATAGGTTTGTGTCACTGCCTTAGGCTTCAACTGGGTGAGGGTTTTTTTGCCTTCTGGGGTAATTTTTTTCTCCTTTTACAAGTCAGTGGATCCAGGGGATAGCCATCACTCCTGTCCAATCCCCTCAATGCCAGCATCTAATTAGAACACAAATTGTCTGCAAAGAATGGAAATTGTGGGTTGGGGGAAGAAAAAGAAATTAAGATTTTATTTTATGTGTATGAATGCTTTGCCTGCATGTATGAAAGTACACTTATGTGGTGCAATGCCTCTGGAGTGCAGAAGAGCTCAAGGATATCCAATTTTCTGGAACTGGAGTTACTGACAGTTGTTAGCCACCATATAGGTGCTAGAAACTGAACCCATGTCCTCTGCAAGAGCAGCCAGTGCTCTTAATGGCTGAACCATCTTACCAGCATCCCTGATACGATTTTAATACATCCCCATGTGTCCCCACAGTTTTAGATATCCTCCAGTAAACTGATAAGGTAGCTCTCTTTCTACTCCCAGGAATAGTCCTTATCAGTCTGTGCTGGATGGGGTACCTGACAGATGGTGCACTTTCATCCTCCCTCAAAAAGAAGCTGCTTGTGGCCAGGTGTGGTGGCACATGCCTTTAATCCCAACACTCAGGAGGCAGAGGCAGGTGGATCTCAGAGATCTAGGCCAGCGTGGTCTACAATAGTGAGTTCCAGGACAGCTGTGGTTCAGGAAGACCCAATCTCAAAAAGACAAACAAAACAAAACAAAACAAAAAACAAACCCCACAAAAAACTAGAGTCTAGAGGTCTAGCGTCTACTAGGGCAAGCTACAGCCTGAAAAATCAATGTTTATATATTTAGATCAGGGCACAGTCTGATCTCAACAGTCTGATGTAGCCCAGGCTGGCCACAAACTTTCTTTTTCAAAATCTTTTATTTTATTTTTGAGACAGGATCTCCCTGTGGCCCCAGCAAGCCTGGAATTGGTGATGTAGTCCAGGCTGGCCTTGATCTCACAGAGGTATGCCTTCCTCTGCTCCAGGAGTGCTGGGGCTAAAGGTATGTGCCAGCATGCCTGACTTTTTAAATTTTTCTTAATTTTATGTGTATTTGTGTATTGCCTGCATGTAGGTAAGTGCACCCGTGTCGTTCAATGCCCAAGGAGGACAGAAGAGACTCGGATCCCCCAGAACTGGAGTTTCGGACAGTTGTTAGCTGCCATTTGGGTGCTGGGATTTGAACCTGGGTCTTCTGCAAGAGCAGCCAGTGTTCTTAACCGCTGTGCTCTCTCTCCAGCCCTCTTTATTTTGTTTTTAAACACGGGTTCTCAAGTGCCCAGGTGGACCTCACAGTTTTTATGTAAGGGTGACCTCGAACACCTCCTTGGTCTTCCTGTGTCTGCCTCTCACATTCCTGGGATTCCAGGTGTTCTGTCCTGTGCCTGTTTTGTTTTTATGCAGTATTGGGGAATCAAACCCAGGGCCTACTGTGTGCTGGTGAAGCACTCTTAACTGAACTACATTTCCAGCCCCTAATAACTTTTAGAGATTTCTTTATATAGCCACCCAGACTAGCCTCAAAGTTGAGATCCTTTATTGTCCCAGACAGAAACAAGGATGGCATTCTGGGGTTATAACTCATCTGAAGTGGGAGCAGTGTGATGGTACTGAGACTTTAACCGTACTGACCATGTGTCTGCTATCTGTGTATGGGGTCAGAATTGAATTTTGGATGTGTGATTGGTGTTGGAGAGTTGGTTGATGTTCAGCTTAACTGTTCAATTTGCCATTTTTTGCTTTTTTAAAAAAATTTATTATTTTTATTTTATGTGTATGTGTGCATTGCCTGCATGTATGTGTGTGCACCCATGTCATACAATGCCCGAGGAGGACAGAAGAGGCTGTCGGATCCCCTGGGACTGGAGTTATGGACAGTTGTTAGCTGCCATGTGGGTGCTGGGAATCGAACCCGGTTCCTCTGCAAGAACAACCAGCGTTCTTAACCACTCTCCAGCCCCCCCTTTTTGCTTTCTTTGAAAAGAAATTAATGTGTGTGTGGGTATGTGCATGTGTGGAATACATGCATGTATTATGGCACCAATGTGGAGTAGAGGAAAACTTGTGGGAATCAATTCTCTTTCCATCACGTAAGTTCCAGGATTGAAGGACATCCAGCTTTGTGGCAAGCACCTTTAGCTGCTGAGCTGTCTTGCTGGCCCCTTTTTAGTTTTCTGAGACGGTTTAAATTCATGATTGTACTGCTTAAGTCCTGGAGCCCCAGCGGGCATAATGGCACATTTTTCTAAATTAGCATTCAGCAAATACCAGACATTTGATGTCCAAAATAATAATAGTAATAGTAATAGTAATGATAATAATAAGCTGGGCATGGTGGTACACATCTTTAATTGGGAGGTAGAGGCAGGCAGATCCCTGAGATTGAGGCCAGCCTGGTCTACATAATGAGTACCAGGCCAGCTAAAGCCACAGGGAGACGATGTCTGAAAGAAAACTAAATAAGTAAAAAAATAAATAAAATAATACCAATAAAAATGTATGACAAGTTGGAATCTGGCTTTAACGGACTCTAGGTGTTCTTGGTGAGAATTGAGACCATGTGGGTGGGGGCTTTTTCGCAGTGGGGTGTATGGAGGGGGGTCCCAGAAGTACATTTCTTGGCTGCTTAGCCTTCCCTCACACTCTGCCTGGGAGTGAGTCCACCTGGTCTCCTTCTGCACAGCGGCCCCTAGCTTAGAAGTGGCTTTGACTTTGTTAGCCTGGGTGCTATGAACTAAGGGTGAAGTAGGCAGCTTCCTCTCCCCCTTCCTATTTCCTTTGTCTTGTCACTGAATCACTCCTTTTCATATATTATAGAAGCTGGGATGCTCTGCCATCTGCAGTTGCTGGTAGTTGCTGCATGTGACCAGGTCAAAGCCCTCAATGGTTTGCACTGGATCTGATCTGGAGGGCTGAGAAGCCGCCTGTACCTCTCACTTGGTTCTCCTGAGTGCCTGTTTTATGTGGACACATGAATTGATGGCCTTTGTGCTCACGGATGGGTT